AAGGAGGGGGCTTTGTAGAAAACGAAGCGTTTGAGAGAGGCGGGGCATATATGACCTACAATAATGTACAGTATTTGAAAAATAATGTGTTTTTTGAACATTAAAGCATGTCAGCATATTCTGTTACACCAAATACACAAAATAATGATCTTTAAAAAAGCATCATATGACCCCTTTAATAATAAAAAAAAAATCATGTACATTTATAACACCATACATAGTACCTTTGCATCAGATGACAAAAAAAAATAGTTAAGCTAAGGAAGTGATGGTAACTTCGTTCATCGTTCTCTCTTCTGACAGCCATTATCAATCTCTCACTATTTTTTCCTCTTTTTGAAATTTGTGAAAACACTTAGTGGAGTTTTTCTTTTGCTATTTGAGGAAATGGGAACACAAAATATATATATGATGTAATCTCCTGTTCACCGCTTTAGAAGTTTATCCATCTTTGATGACTTCTGCTTCTGAGAAACACAGAAATGTATAAAGCGTCCATAAGCCTGGGAAAATCCAACTCGGTGGATGTGTTTCATGTGATAACAGAGTCATAAGCAGAAGCCTATAACCTGATAATATGACACATTAGTTTTAGATTCCCTTAATTATTTTTTTACTTATATTTCATCTGTTTTAATGGTGGGAGTAATAAAAATACTTTAAGCATAAAATCAGTTTGAATATGTGCCCTCTAGCGGCGAAAATTACATATTGTGCCTTTAATAAAGCATTTTTTTTTTGTAAAATAAAAATGTTTAAAAATTAGATTTTGTAATCATTTGTAATCACAGGATCCCCCGCCCCACCATCCCCCTTATTTTTATTTTTTTTTTACAATTTGTCGACTGGTAATAACAGAGTAATACGCAGAGGCCTATATCCTCCTTAGTGTACTGGACAAAGTAGTTTAAATTCCCTTAATTATTGAATTATAATTTATATAATTATAATATTTATATAATTATAATTATTTAATTTAATAACTTAATTTATTTAACTTTAATATTTCATCGATTAATCTGATGTAATGGTGGAGGTAAAAATACTTTCATCATAATGAAAAAATAGCAGATTTAAGTTTATATGGTTTATTTACGTTTTTTTTCTGTAGCAGAGAAATGATTTCATTTGGCTATTTATTGTGCAGTAACATTTTAACTACATTGTTTGTGAAGTGTAGGCACTGGAAAGAATATATTATAAGCATTGGCCCCGCCCCGTGCGATATGATTGGCTCCTCCTCATGAGTCTGCATATATTTGCATGAAGGGGCGGAGCAGGGGGCAGCCCAGCTAGAAGGAGAAGTGAATACTGTATATAGTAAACGCTGTCTGTCTGTCCGGCGGTAGTTCCGGGTTCTGTCTTCATTGCTGCTGTGTTGTCCTCGTCTTATGTTGTAGGCAAAAAAGTCACTTTCGCCCACTTTAGGCAATCATGGCTCTTCTAATGGAGCACCAGTTCCGGCAACTTCCAGCCGACAAACAAGTGGAAACCCGGCCGTTTCTCGAGGCGGTGTCTCACCTTCCTCCTTTCTTCGGTAGGTTCTTCCGTCATCTCTCATAGATTGAGCTCAGATTTGAGCGTGAACTCTGTGCTGTCGTGAAACGGCTGGACGTTCCAATGATCTTTAAGACAATATTTTGAGGTTTTAAAGTTTTTAGTGTTCAGTGTAACTTGTTCAAGTCGTCAAAAAATAATTTTATTATCTATTTCAATATGCAAATGATAAAATAGCTAGTGTTTGTTAGTTTGGATTCCCTCCCTCATAGATCACTTCAGAATGTCATTTTCAAAATGATTGAATTCGTAAACAAAGTGAAACAAAGTAACAGTGCATGCATGTTTATAGAAGAAGAGTTTTGAACTGATTCAGTTACATAATTACAAACATGTTGTTACAGAAATCAGTAGTCTGATATCATCTGATTTTCTGGGATATTCCAGCTCTATATGATCAGGCAGGGGTGAGATTTTCCACTCCTGATCAAGATCTTCAGTGTTCTCCAGAAGTTGTTAGTAAAGTCTGACAAGCCTAGCTGTCAAGCAGAAGCCATTGTTTGCTTTTGAGGACTAATCTTTTTTTGGCTCAAATTTCTTTTCACAAAGAAGGCCACAAACCTATTGCATGCATAATTTAATATGCTGCCCTCGATTTTTGAAGTTGAGAAAATTGATTAGCATGGTGTTGAGTTGCCCCGCTCTATTCATTGGTGGAATGGAACATCAGAACATCTTTGTTCTAAGCCTCATTTGGTATTAATATGAAAAATGCATTTAAAATGAATTTGCCACTTGAAACGCCAAGCCTGCGGTGTTCACATTAGCTCTTGATGTACTCTTGTATTTTTGCCAGCCGCCACTAAAAGGCTCCTTTTCTTGCCGTGGTTATAAAACGAACTGGATGTGATGAAGGAAGAACAAAATAAACCTTATAGTGACAATACAGAACTACAGTGGTGGTCAACAAGTTTGAAACATATTAAAAACCCAAGATTTAAAATTAAAAAAAAAACTATTTTAGGATTTTCAAGAAATCTAAAATGGATATAAAATATATTCGATTCTGGTCTATTTTAGGTCATTATTTTTTATACATTATTACAATTATTAAATTATGTTTATTAAATCTTAGTATTCTCTAATGTAATAAACATTTCATTAGAAATAACAATCGTATGAAAAAAAAAAGAAGCATTTTCACTCGTGATCTCAGACTTTTGACTTTTGGACCCAACTGTTTGTTCTACAAGAATCTTCAGGTGGAACCCATAGTTAAACTGATGATATAAATGAATGATACAGGTGCTTGACCTCAATAGATGAACTTTGTATGGCAGGCTGTGATTGGAGACGTATTTATGATTGTGTGATGTCATAAGGTGATTGGGGACACTGGTTGTTGTGGATGTCGCTAACTCCCACAGAAAGACAATTAAGCTTCCCAGCTCTTGTTTAGCGTTCACACTTTAACACAAAAAGCCCTGTGTGGAGTACCAACACCAGAAAGAACAGGAGGGTGGGCTGGCATTGTTGGACGTGTGTGTGTGTGTGTGTTTTCTGTTATTATAAGGCATTCATTCACAGTGAAAAAGCTGGAGTGTAAGCAGACTTTTTGTTTGCGTATTTAGAGTCGCCTGTAACCAGAGATGCTCCTTTTGCTAATAGTACAAAATGCTGATGACCCAGATCTTTCCAACATATCACTTTTATGTTGGGAAATTCTACTCAGCTGCTACTCTCACTTGAGGAACACATACTGTATATCACTTTCTAAGTCTTTTCTCGTTCAGGCATTTTTTTTGATTGAATGGGGCGAACAAACTTTGGTGCAATTGCTCTGTTTGTACGGTTCATCTGTGAGTAACGAAACAAGTGGACCGAGACCCACATTTTCAGGCTTCCAAATGAACTCTGGTGCGGTTTGATTGATATATGAACTAGTAATATGAACTCGTCCTGTTGCCCATTACAGTTCGGTACAGGTGCCGGAACCGCAGGCTCAGTGTGCTGTTTTGACTCCTTTACACATTTTATGAGCACTTTGTGAGTTATCAGCTGGTAAAAACACCATCATATGTACTCACAAACAACAAGTGCATTTAGCCCAGCATACAGGTCGCAAAATATACGTCATAAAAGCTGCCCAATCAGGTTGTGACTTCATCCTTTTTTTTATAATTTTAGTAGGGCTGCACGATAAATCGAAATGGAATCGAGATCGCGATTCGACAGAAGCTGCGATTGTCATGCGTATCTTTCAGTGAAGCACGGTTCTGTGATCAGCAGTAAATCTCCATCCAAAGACCAGAGGGCGCTCTCGCGCTGAAACTCCAAATACGCGTCGCAGAAGAAACCCAGAAAATGCCTCTCGCTGCAGCTGAATAAACAAAAGATTCAACTGCTTTAATTGATTCAATGTGACTAATAAACACACGACTATGGCAATATACGGTTTATCTGAGTTCGTCTTATTATAATGTTCATCATAATAAAGTATATCTATAATGAAATGCTAAACGACATAGCCTTTATCACTGCTTAGAATACTATGAAATATGTTGCGTGCCTTATTCTGTGTAAGAAGCCACATCATCTCACAGGAGGATTTATTTCAAACACTCGACTGACGTTATGAAGTGAGTTTGGAGTAAAAATATGTTATTAAATGTGGTATTTTCACATGCTTTCAGATGGAGCAGCATTTACTTCACAGCCGTAGTGCACTGAGAAGCTATGCAAACAGCTGTCACTATCGCGAACGATTTCTTCGATTTCAGAATCGCGCAATAAAATCGTCTGCTATTTTTTTTTTGTGTAACTTGTCAGTGAACTACGGCTATGTGTAGTAAATTCTGCTCCATCTGAAAGCACGTGATGATGATTTCCTGCTGATTACAGAACCGGCTTTTTTAACAACATGCGCATGACAATCGCATTCGATTAATCGTGCAGCCCTAACTTTTAGGTTTGGTGTAAAAAAAATTACAGTGTGAACACTAAGCGAACGAGGTCCGGACCAAAAAACCAAGAGAAGTGAACTACAAGTGTAAACACACCCTTAATTTATCAATATATTGACCGATATTAGATATTGTGCATATTCATTTCCTCTATTTTTACATTTATATTACATTTACCATAATTCTTATACTCACTAAAAGTTCATCCTTAGAAATGATAATGTAAGAACACTGTTAAATATAACCTTTAGCAAATCTCAAAATGAATACCAATTTTTCATATTGTACATTATAATGTTGTGATGCCTAAATTCACTTTAGGCATTTAAGACAATTGAGTTTTGTTGCCAGTGTTTTATTTTTAATTTGTTTCGGCAAAATAGTAAAGAATTTTATTATTGCCCATTTATTAATGCTCATGACATGAATTTAATCATCAGCTTATCCGGTATCAGGCAGAGTGTTAATATCGACGCATCAATTGTTTTAAAGAAGTAGTAATGAGATTTGTAATCTAATTAGACCTGCAAACTAATTATCAAAGATACCATTTTTAGGAGTTGCACTCAAAATTTAAGTTGCCCAATTTGAAAAGGCATGACACTTCTGCCAGTCTGTATAACCCACACAAAGTCAATTTGAAGGGCATGTTTACAGAGTTAGGAAGTGTGTACATGCAAACAACATACAGTAAATTATAATCAAACCAACTCTAATACAAAAATTGGCAAGGCATATACAGTATTTATTGGTTGCAGAGATGGAAACATCAGTGATTCAGTGTGTTTCCATTTCCACAGGTGTTTATTTCATTATCAGACGCGCAATACATTTGGTCTCAGCGTGATAGTGGGTGATACTGAAACTTTAATGAACCGCATGGGTGCTTTCAGAAATCTGTCATGATCTCCAAGCACAGTTAATTATTCAGAGCTCTTTTTTTAAGGCGGGAATGTCAGAGTTCACACTAAGTTCTAAGGGATCAGAAGTGGCAATACTTTTACCGTGTGTCTGCTACATTCCTGCAAATATTCTAGTATGTAAAAAGAGGGTTACCTCACAGCTGTGAAAGAACGTTGCATTCTCACATGTGTATAACATAATCTACTTTTCATGTGTACAGTAGGTTGCCAGGCAACCTTTTCAGGCAACATTTCAAATACGTGCAATAAGTGTTAATAAAATATTTGCATGTATTCAAATATTACTCGTCTGTTCTTTTTTTCTCCTCTTAGATTGCCTCGGCTCTGCTGTTTTTTCCCCCATCAAAGCTGATATCGCGGGTAACATCACTGTAAGTTCACCACGTGACATACACAGTTGATAAGCACTGAACAGTATAACTTTTACAATCATAGCTCCATGCACCTCTCTGCTTTTTCTCACAGAAAATCAAGGCTGTGTATGACAGCAATCCTACCAGGTTTAAAACCCTGCAGCACATTTTGGAAGCAGAGAAGGAGATGCATGGAACCGAGTGGCCAAAAGTAGGAGCAACACTTGCCCTCATGTGGCTGAAAAGGCAAGGCTGGGCCTGAAATGTTTTTTTAAAAAACGGTTGCTTTTAAAATGTAAAATTGCATAACGAAAACATGGACTTTGAGACTTTCTGTAACTGTCTTTTTTAAAGAAATAGTTCAAGTAAAATGAAAATTTGCTGACAATGTGCTCACCCTCAGGCCATCCAAGATGGAGATGAGTTTGTTTCATCATGGGAACAGAGAAATTTAGCATTACATCAGTTGCTCAGTCCACTGCAGTGAATGGGTGCCGTCAGAATGAGAGTCCAAACAGCTGATAAAAACATCCACAAGTAACCCACATGACTTCAGTCCATCAGTTAATGTCTTGTGAAGTGAAAAGCTGTGTGTTTCTAATAAACAAATCCATCTTTTAGACTTCAACTTTAAACCATTGCTCTATCCAAAACGTAGCTTTCTCCAGTGAAAAGCCAGAAGCTTGCTTGATGATGGATTTTTCTTACAAACACACAGCTCTTTACTTCGCAAGATGTTATTTGATGGACTGAGGATTACTTGTGGATTATTGTGATGTTTTCATCAGCTGTTTGGATTCTTCTGACGGCACCCATTCACTGTAGAGGATCCACTGGTGAACAAGTCACGTAGTGCTCAATTTCTCCAAATCTGTTCTGATGAAGAGACAAACTCATCTACATCTTGGATGGCCTGAGGGTGAGTGCATTTTCAGCAAATTTTCACTTTTGGGTGAACTATTCCTTTAAGGAATAGTAAATTCGGTTATCATTTACTTGCCCTTTAGTAACAAACTATTTAAGATAAATGACATTTTTGGAACTTGACAACATCTGTCCCTATTGAGTTTCATTCTGCAAAAACGAGCACCCAGAACATTCTGTGAAACTACTCTTTTTGTGAATGTGAATTTTTATTTACCCTTTAACTAAAACCTGTTTTCCTTGGGTTTTCTGTTAGGGGGCTACGCTTTATCCAAGTTCTTCTCCAGAGTCTAGTGGATGGGGATAAAGATGAAAACAACCCTAACCTCATCAGAGTCAACATCACTAAAGCTTATGAGATGGCATTGAAGAAGTATCATGGCTGGTTTGTCCAGAAGCTCTTTCAAGTAAGTTTCTTAAAAAAATGAATGTATGCATT